ACATGAGCACTGTGGTAGGCCTGCGCTGTCTGGGCAGGGGGCTGGCCCGAGCTTGTGACCCTGGTAAGATCCTGGCAGATGCAAAGATGTTGGTGTTCACGGCAGATGATGGATTGAGGCAACCTGCATTTCTGAAGAGGAGACGAGAGTATGAATAAGGGGAGAGCTCTTAAGACATCTTCTGCAGCGTTTTGAAAGAATTAGCTTTTTAGCATGTGTGCTGGATGAGGGCTAAAGCAATGCAGTGAAGGCTCCAGTTGTTGTAGCTGCACAATCAAGGTAACAGTGTCTGGCTGTTCATTTGCTTCCTATCTCAAGCTCTTCAAAAGAATAACAAGCAGGATATCTACAGTCCGTTGGAGGAGTAGCACTGGTAGCTGTGTGGTGTTAAAAATACAATTGTGGAATGCCTAAATATGTCATTTAGGCTATGGCAAGCAAACCTTTCGCGAAAAATCCAGCTATGTCTGGGCATAGCTAGGTGAGTCCAGCCTCTGGAAAAGGCAGGTTAGAAGCAGACCACAGGCTAGCTGTGAGCCTTTGGCTGGGCGTAGCAGGAGCCTGGGAGAGGTGCAGGTGTGGAGAGGCAGATCTAATGCGTAATACAGGAAGACTTGGTGGCCCTCACTGTTAAATTATCTGGATACCCCTCCATCTCATTCAGCAAAACCTCTCTGAGTAATAGTAGTGCTTTTACCTGTCTCAGTTTCCCCTCTGTAAAATGAAGAGGAGGAAACTGAGCTCATCTCCAGCCTGGGAATTTGAGCTGTAGGGGACCTGTAGGTTGTCAGCATGATGGATGTTGAAGTCTTCTCTCTGGATAAATGTTCTGACTCCCTGTAAAATAAAACTGACTGATTTAACTATTAGCAAGGACTGGCGTGGCTACACTGTGTCTAGGGAAGGTGAGCTGTATGCCCATACTAGCAGCTGAGGTGAAGGTGAGATGAGATGTGTAAATACTGCCGAGCCTTATTTTCCCCATAACTCTTGGTTGTGGACTAAATGCTGAGTTGTTTGTGGGGCAGGCCAGCAGAGCCATCCTGCTCTGGTGTGAACCGCTGCAGGCTGATCTCCTGGCATTTGCCCAGCTCCCCTCCTCGCAGGTGCAGAGCTACTGAGCTTTGCCCAAGAAGAAAGACTAGCGTCATCATCTTAGATAAGATAAAGTGTGACCAAATCCTTGTTACCCTTGGCAGGTGTGGCTAGATGCCGGCTGGCATTTGTGCAGCTCGGAGGAATAGCCAGGCATTGCAGCTGTGGGGAGGGCTGCAAAGCCTCTTTAAAACGTGGAGACTTGATGCCGGAGCCTGAAAGAGAGGGTGAGTGCACCTCAAGGGATGGTGACAGCAAAGCCCTGAGGGGTGTGAGTGAAGGCACAGCCACCCAGTAACCCTGGGGGCAGAGGACTTCTGCCGTGTGTTTCTGTGTCCTGCTGCAGACTCTGGGGTCGATGTTGCTTCACGAGCAGCTGCACCAGCTCGGTGCCCTCTGAGCAGGGCTGTGCGGCTGCTCTGGGGTGTAGCAGGGCTGAGCACCTCTTCGCAGCAGCTCTGCCAGAGCCTCTCTCTTCACCTGTCAGGTTTTTGAAATTCAAAGGTGTCTGTTGTCCTGAACTGTGCCCTTCTGTCTGAAAGCGTGGGACCCAGGAGAAGAATTCAGATTTATTGGAGGGAAAAAGGACACATCAGCAGAAATGCTGCTATGGAGACTCCTTCCACAGCCTGAGGAGCAGCAGAAGCACCAGGACACAAGGTTCTTCCTCAATGCTCAGGAATGCTGCCACACTTGGTGTCCTGCAGAGAAAATTCAGGCTAAAAGGATGCATATCTCAGTCCTGTGCTGGTAGAGAGCAAGACACTCCAGTATCCTTCAAGTACTTCAATTTTGTTGAGTAAGTGGATAAAAGGTTCTAACAGATACACAAAGCTTCAAATGCAAAATTGTGGGGTTTGTGGAGTTGCCTGCCTAATCCCAAATGGCAGAGTTGGTGAAGAGTTGTCCCCATCACTGTCTTCTTTAAGAATCCAGGAGCCTCAGATAAAACTGTGTGGGGCAGCTGCACATCAAACAGAAGGAAGCAATTCTCCGCAAACCATTAAAGAGTGGGACACAGGATACTGAGGATGTCAGAGCTGTCCATGGGCTGCAGACATGGCTGGGTTTTTTTATTACACAAAATGTCTGGTTTATGAATATTTTCTGAGCCACAAAGCCAAAAAAGTATACTAGAAAAGTATCATTACACATTTATGCTGGGAAGACAAGGGTATCTGGAGACACAGTGCTGGTTCAGCCTGGCGGTTCCTCAGCCCAAATAGAGGCTGCTTTTTCATCAGCAGGAATCACTCTCCAAGCACACAGTCCTCCGCC